GCCCCGGCTCCGCAGCGCCGCCTGCTGCCGCCGCTCCCCGCCGCGCCCGGGCTCGGCCTCCGAGGATGGAGACTCATCTCTCCGGGGCGGACAAAGCCTTGGCTCGGCCGATGTCGTTGGAGCGGGCCTTGGACTAGATGCGACCTCCTGGGCTCCCTCCAGCCCTCCTTCTCTAGGATTTCTAGGACTCTTTCCTGGAGGTTTTCCTCATGTCCAGCCAAACCTCCCTTGCCGCAGCCTGAGCCCGTCGCTCGCTGTCCTGTCGTCTGCCCCACGGAGACCAGCCCAGCTCCGTCCTCTGCGCAACCCCCTGCAGGGAGGTGACGGCTGCTCTTCAGTCCCCCTCGGTCTCCCCTTCTCCAGACTCAGTCAGCCCAGCTCCCTCAGCCTCTCCTTGCTGTTGTGCGTGTGATCCCATCTCGTAGGGTGGAGGCATAGCTCTGGAGTATGTGAGGCACAGATTTTTGTGGCATGTTTTATTGGACTGGCTGCCTAGCTGGGAGAGCCGCTGGACGAGCTTTTGGGCATCAGGTTTTCCAGCGGCCTGAAGAAGTGCACTTGACGCCTGCTGGTCCAGTCAGAGATCACACCTACTTGGGCTATCCGCGCCTGTCCTCCTTCAGCCCGCTTTACCAGCAAAGCACGGCTGCCCTGGAGCTCCAGCCACCCATGGCTGCTCTGCTTGCTGCCCCAGGTACCTGCAGGCTGCTGGCAGACCACCAGCCAGGAACCATCCCACGTGGGTCTTTGACAGAGAGGTACTTAGCCATGTGAGGCTCAAGTCAAGCAGAAGGCAGGGTAGATTTTCACCTTACAGACTATCTAAACGATATATATATATGGCACAAGCTTTCCTGAGCTGGAGCTCACTTCACCAGGGGCACAAAAAGCGGTGCTATGTCTATACCAGTGTGTCAAATTTAGGTGATCTATAAGGTGCAAATCTACCTGGCTTTCTACATGGGTTTCTGTCACACACGGGTGCCTGAAGAGAAACAAGTGAGCAGCAAGATTGATAGACATTAGCCCAGTCACAAGGAAATGGGCTCGCTGTGGAAAAGGACGCTTTTTTGTTTGCCTTGACAGTCTGACTGCTCCCAGCTGACTTAGTCAGTGGAGTTTCCTTGTGTGCCATCAGCGTGGGGCTTGGCTAATAGCAGTGGTTGTGTCATTTGAAGAAAAAAACATGCCCTGCCTATAATGAACAGTCATCATCTTTTTTGCTATCCTCGCAACGGTTTTCCTCTCCCACACTCTGCAGCCAGCACTGCGTCCCAGGGAGTGTCTGATCTGTATGAAGTTCTGGGTCACTTCCAGCTCATGGACTCAGCAGTCTTGCATCACTGAGCTCCAGAGCTAGAAACAACTTCATGTCTAGAATTTCAGGGTTTTCCACTGGTGCTGCCAATGGGGAGAGGCTCTTCCCAGGGTGCAAAGTTGGCTGTATCTGGAAGTCTTCCATTACCACGCTGACAGGGCGTGAGACGACCCTTGAGGTGTCTGCAGGCTCCACTACCAGTGGAGGGTCGGTATGCTGAGCCACGTGGTGCCAAAACGACAATTGTTCAGGTATCGATGGACTCTAGTGGGCGATCAGCCTCACGTCGACGCATGACATGCAGTTCCTGCACACGGAAGAGAAGCGCTCCCCAGCTTTGCTTGTTGTAGGTTCGGACACTGGTCACCATTGCCCTGGCATGTGAGCACCCCTTACTTTAAGGTTGGGGCTGGTAAGCTCCTCTGTAGGCTTCATGCAGCCTTTGCTCTCCCTTCCCTGAGTTGTATGGGGCAGAGAGAAGGGCGTTTGTGAACATCCCAGATTCATTACTTGCCTTCTGAACCCCACTCTGAGATTCCCCCCTTTTGGGGGGATGAAGGTGAACCCCTCTGTTATCATGCATTACTTCAGTGACAGATTCAGTGGGCTGACTTATGTCACCTTGAGTCCTGCATAGTACAGTACCTACGACTGGGTGTATGAATCAGCATACAAAAATTAAACCACCGTGTTATTCCACGCTGCTGCACAAGAGTAGAACACATAACAGATGTTGGTAAGACTTAGGGGGAGAAAACACTGGTGAACAAAATGTGATGTCTGTGGTAATGCTCACCAACCTGTTAGGTCTCCAGGCTGCAGCCAGCAAACACACAGAACAGTTCAAATCCCACGACATGCCTGGAAATGAAAACAGAGCAAGGGAACTCCTGTGGTTGATGGACAAACCACACAAAAGCCCATGTTTATACTGGCCATCTCCTGTGTGATCTGTTAGGTCCAGGGTTTTCACCCTGTGGTCTGCAGACCCATCTATGTTTAAAGGGTCTGCAAAACATGACTATGATTAATCAAAAGTATGTGAATACCCACAGTTACAATTCAAAGGGGTCCGCACCTCCATTCAAATTTTTTTAGGGGTCTGCAAATGAAAAAAGGTTGAAAACCAGCATGCTAGGCCTTCCGAGCTGTCAGCGTGGTCCTTTCTGATGTTTCTTGGACCTGCCTATCAGAACTCAGATCTACCTCGTCTGAAGGACAACAGCTAAGGGCACACTTTCCCTAGCACGTCTTAATGCAGAGACGAACTTTACTGAGTAGGACTGTCTCATAAAATATGTTTGGAGAGAGTCTAGCCCAGTGGGGTCCCAATCCTGACTGCAGCCTCCTCTGAAACCTGCGCTAAGGAGAGTTGTTAACAGATGGCTGAGCTGTTCTGAATCCAGCCGGGAGAGGGCAATGGCACACGCAGGCATGGGGCATCACAGCACCGCCAAACTTCACAGGGCACTGACTTACGGGAAGCCACAGAAATCCAGATGTGGGTATGCTGTGGTAAAATCACTGTGACAAAACCTGTCAACAAACCAAAGTACCTTGAGGTATGAAAGTCACGATGTGTCAGGCGTGTACGAACCGCTGCCCTGGTGAAGTGAAGCCTGTCTGCAAACTACAAGATCAGGAAGGCTGAACTGCCTCCAAAGGGGGGTGGGTGTGTTGTGTAGTGCTACATTACATAACTTGACATTGATATATAACACTTGATCTTAGCCAAAAGGCAAAGAAGTCGTGCAAGATTTTACCCAGTATACAGGGCTCTGACCTGTGCAGTTGGTCTATACTGGGCTGCATTGCCAGCCCACTGGGTGGGAATGTAACCATGCAACCAAAGACCCATTTACCTGCTTGTTTAAACATCTTGGTGCCTCCTTTGAGTGAGCCTGGCCCTGTGGCACAGCTCTGGAGCAGTCCTAGGTGGTTTTATTACTTTTTTCTAGACCTCTGGCCCCCAGCATGTGTTCAACCCGCTCCAAGGAAAATGTGACTGTGACTTATTATTCCAAATATCATGCCTGTTGCCTTATCTTGGTCTGATTGCTTGTCTTCACCTTTACCTCCTGTTTGGACTGTACATTCACAGGGGCAGAACCTCTTTTCTATTAGATGTGTATACAACACGGGGTGCAATGGGGTAAGATCAGGGCCGCGAGTCCTGGGACAGTACAAGTGCTGGCAAAGGGTTGGCTCATAACACAGGAACAGGGCTGTCGTGAGCAGACTTAGGACGTCATTACAGCAGCGGTGAGAGTGCTGCGCCTGGTCTTCGGTGGAGCTCTCGGCCCAGCTCCCTGCTTAATAAACAAACACAGGGGGCCCTGCTCTAGAGCTGCTGCCAAAAGCAAATACCTGAACGTGGAGAGAAGCCAGGCATGGGACTGGCGGATCGTGAAGCCAAAGAAAATATGTAGGAATCTACCGGCAAGGCAGGCCTGGAAAAATTAGAGTGCGTGTCAGAGAAACGCATCGATGACAAAGATTAATGCCGGAGGAACGAATGCAAGCGCGTGACCACAAATGTTCTCCCATGGCTCCGTCCCAGGCCATGGTGACTGATCCCACCATCGCAGCGCGTGGGATCCAAGTGATGGCACCCAAAACACATGCGCCGGGGGACTGGCGTTGTCCTTTCATTTTGATATTTGCGTTGCAGGGGTCGCAGGCCAGGGCCCCCTTGCGCTGGGCTCCGCTAAGAGCTGACGTGGCCTCGTGCGTTAGGAGAAGGGCTGTTGCCCAGCTGGCATTCTTCGACAGAACTTCGGGCTGTCGACACGTGACAAATCAACAGCTCTGGCAGGTTACGATATCCGTGGCCTCCCCAGGAGAGATGCCGACCCGGGGCGGTTGTGCAGACGGGGTAGGGAAGCGACGGCAGCGAGAGCAGGCGGTAATGCAGGGAGCGCAGGCAGCTGCTGGCGGTCGTTGTGTCCACGTGCGGCGGCAGGGAGGATGGGCGGTACGGCACCACCGTCGCCGGCAGACAGGCAGAGGGCAGGCCATCACCACAGCTGGCGGCACCCGGTGGTTCTTCGTCTCCCAAACTCGGCACAGACCAGACGTTTGTTCCAGAGTTGCACGCAAGCGATGGCTCTTCCTGTTGCTGCAGCAAGGTCCTCCTTCGTGCGGCTCTTGCCAAGGAGGCAGCAAACCAGCGCGCCCACCAGTCTGCGCTTTGCTGCACTCGCGCGTAGTCGTGTCGCAGCCGCTGGTGCTGGCAATGGGCACTAGGCACAGGCCCCGGCAGGCGGTGATAGGGGACTGGTGACAGGCCACTTGGTGGCAATGAGCGCTGAGGCAGTTGGTGACA